AGTCCACATAGGTTGGTGACTCCCCCAACCAACTAGGGTTCAAATACGATGTGCACAAAGACTAACACTACCCTATTAGCATAGGTATTCTGACTAGCATACCATAGGTTCATAATAATAATCATAATCAAACAAAATATTCATATCTCAAGGCTCAAATCATGACATCAATTAAATGAGGAGCTATCACATTCATATCTCAAGGCTCTAATCATGACATCAATTAAATGAGAAGCTATCAATTCATAAGCTAATTCAAAATATATATTGGTTCATATCAAGAATTTAGATTTAACAATTGATTATACTTTTTCATAACAAGGATAATAATCAGCATATATATTATCAAGAAAGATGATTCAATTCATATTAACAAATTAAATATTGATAATATTTCTTATGCATATGAAAAATTATCCACTCACCTGACTTGAAAGTAACAACACTCAAAAGCATATACTAAAGAAAATTCTATTGATGTCCCGTTAGTAGAATATCAGGATTATCTGAATACAAAAGAGCATTATTCAAGAATGACTCAAAAGAATATAGAATTTATTTAATACACTTATCTAAGGGTATATTCCATAACCCTATATGTTTTTAGACTAAACTATATATTTTTCTAAAAACCTAACATTAAACAGTTTTTTTGAAATTCAGTCCATAATAAAGAAAATAATAAAATTGGTGATAATTCACTCAATTATTCATCAATCCAATCTGCAAAAGCTAGTATTATAGCTAAGGACTAAGAATTTATTATATTTTAAGGGTTAAATTGTAACTTTTATTAAATTGAAGGACCAAACAAAAAATATCATAAATCCATTATTATACTGAAATTATAACCATATTTAATCCTCAATTCTGTCTAGAATATCTCATTATACTCCAAGGACCATTCTGGAATTTTTTTCCAAATTTTTAAGGTCAAATTAGAGGACCAAATTAAAAATATTATAAATCCATGACTATACTGAAATTCTGACCATATTCAATCCTCAATTTTGCCCAGAATATCTCATTATGCTCTAGGAACCATTCTAGAATTTTTCAAAATTTATAGGATCAACTTGTAATTTTTGTCAAATTAAAGGACCAAATGGAATATGTTAAAATTTCATAACTATACTGGAATTCTGCCCATAATTCATACTTTATTTTATTTAGAATCTCAGAATATGCAATAGGAAAATTTGTAATTTTCTAAAGTTTGGGGAATAAAATATAATTTTCACAAATTGAGAGATCAAATCGAAATTTTATCGTCTTTAACCTCAAACCTGGAATTTTCACAGATTACCTACTATTATCTCATGATTTATAACATAAATTCACTATTCAAACAAAATTATAATTCAAAATTGACACGACCAAAAGATTGATGTCTTCTATTCAGAATCTCAGAATATGCTCTAGGGACCAATTTGTAATTTTTCGATGTTTGGGGACTAAACTAAAAATTTCACAAATTAAGGGACCAAACCAAAATTTTATCATCTTCAACCTCAAATCCAGAATTTTCACAGATTACCTACTGTTATCCACTGATTTATAACACAAATTCACAATTTAAACAAAATCATAACAAAAAATCATCATCTTTATCTACAATCTCTCAAATTCAAATTGATACTTCAAGTGGAAAATGATGATATAAAACCTTGATGAAAATGCATTTTTAAGTAGTAATCAAAAATCATCATCTTTATCTACAATCTCTCAAATTCAACTAAACAATTCATTACCCATAATAATCAACCATATAACAGTCAAATTAATTCATCAATCAACCCAAAATACAATCTTCAAAACCCTAAAATTCAATTAAAATAGAAATTATAGGGTTAAATAATACATATTTATACATAATCTTATCTTTAAACTTATTTTCTTCAATTCTCTTCTATTTCCATTATCTTTCCTTCTTTTCTATTCTTCTTCTTTCCCTTTTCTTCTTTTCTCTCTATTTTTCACTCTTAATTGCAGATCTCTCTCTCTCTCTCTCTCTCTCTCTATATATATATATATATATATATATATATAATTACTACAATATCCTTCATTTATTTATTCTTACATTTAAGCCTTTAAAGGTTTTGTAGTCTTTTCTTACCCATTTACTTTCAAAACATTACACCATTAGCCCAAATTCTCGGGCATGAACCTCAATTATTGATACACTAATTTCTTTACCCAAAATCGAGCACTAACCTTACTACTGGATAACTCATTTCTCTATCCAAAACCAGACAATAGTTCTTCTATTGGGTAACTAGTTATTCTACCCAAAATTAGGCACTAGTTTTGCTAACGAGTGACTAGTTCTTCTATCCAGATTAGACACTAACCTTACAATAGAGTTATTAATTCCTCCATCTAAAATCGAGTACTAGTCTCATTACCCGGTAACTAGATTCTTCATATTTTATAAACAAAACTATTAAAAATATATATGATATTTAAAAAAATTACAATTACATAATTTAATTAAGTTAATAAATGAACTTCAAGTTGTCTAGCATCAACCTGTTGTTGTTGTCCTACTTTCGTAATCTTTCATATATCATAAAGACACAAATTTTTCTAAAATCAATTTTTCATAACTAATTAAATTCAAAGCAACTTAAATTCACATATATAAACTTTTTAATTTTCTCATCAATTATTCCTCAAATTACCATCTAATATGGCCTTTTCATATATTGTTTCATCAATTAAATTAAATATCCACAAATTTATGAATGTTCCTTTAATTCATCCACACAACTAATTAGTTGTGAAATAATTTTTCTAATTGTCATTAATTTATTTAAATGACCATAATACATGCAAATTTTTAAATTTTTTTAGACAGGAATACATTCAAGGATAATTTACATATCAAATGAATCAAAATCTTATTCCCCCGTTTCTCCTCTATTTGGCATAACGCCTTCATACAAGGCAAGGGGAATTTTTTTTTTTCAAACCATTTAATTAATGTGTTTCCCATACATTAATCACACATATCAACACGTACATATGAATTTTATAGCCATTTTATCAAATAATCCCAACTTCCAAATTTTATAGACTGAAATTTCTAACAGTAACAGGATGAATTTTTCTTTTCAATTTTTTCAATTGAAATATTACCTAATTATTTCTCATGTCAACTCACATTATCTCATTATTAAACAACATAATAAACAACTAATTTTCACAAATTTCAAATTCTATTTAACACTATAACATTCAATAATTTACTTAGCTTATAATTATCCAAACTAATTATTTAGATTGAGTTTATTACTCAAATGGCTACGGAAACAAGAGAAAATGCAATGGAAGTCAAGTTTTTCTTTCACTTTTTTTTCCCTCCCTCAACTTTTCTAAAACCTTACCTTTCCAGACTTTGAATCCTTGATTAAGTGTCTGAAATCCACTACTTATTAAGTCTTACTCTTAAGCTCTTTAAAGAATTAAGAATTTCAAGATAAAAAAACAACTCCCCCCCCCATCTCTTGTATGGTGGTTTGGCAATCTTGGCTTCCTTTGAAGCCAAATTGCTATTTATATGGCTCTATGTTTTTTTATTTACAACATTATTTCAAAGTTTTGTTTGGTATTTTTTATTTAATTAGATATTTTTTCTCAACCCAACATTAAATCTATTTTTGTAAATAAAAGTTTTCAAACTTGTAATACCTTATCCCAATTTATTTAACATCCCTTTATTCTATTTTTTTTTTAAATTCTTGAAAATCCTAGTCAAGGTTTGTATTCATCCTAATTCTTTTAATTATAATTTTTTGTATTGGATCTTTTTATGTAATTGATTTTTTTTAATTTCATCTTTTAATTATAATTTTTTATATTGGATCTTTTTATATAATTGATTTTTTTTTAATTTCATTATTTTATAATTTTTATTGGGAATTAGGCTTTATAATTTTTTTTTCATTTATAATGCTTCTGGTCTAATGACCTCATTACATGTTTGAAAAGTTAACGCAAGTCGATATATTTTTATTTTGGCTTATTTTATTTTCTGATTTCATCATTTAATATTATTTCAAAAAATATTGGTTGTGATTTTCTTTAATTTCTTTTCTATTAGGTTATTTTGATCTTATAATCTAGTTTATGAGTTTTACAATTGATCCAGACCCGCCCGTTATTATTTAGGTTACATGTCTATTATATTAACTTTGATTAACTTAGATTGATTCTTTTTTACCATTTTCTATCCAATTTCATATTTTCAAAAAACAATTCAAGCTATCATGGTTTTTTACTCTTTGTTTTTTTTTTAAATAATTCATCTACTATCATTATTTATTTATTTATTATTTAATTAAAATAAAACCAATCTTTTAAACCCATTTAAAACTATAGCCTGAGTCATTTGTTTTTCATATTTGTTTTTTAATGCACTTGCGCCACGTAAACTTTGTCTTTTCCTTTCTTTTTTATTCTATTTCTATTTGTAATTTTTTATATTAATTGATATTTTTTTAATATGTTCTTTTTAAAATATTTTTTTAATTTATGTTTCACTTAATATCCTTCTTCTATGGTTATTAATATATGAACTTTGTTTTTTTTAAAATAAAAATTTATTTATTTTTAGATAATATTTTTAATATGTATAATTTTACATGAATTTTTTTATTCAATTAATTATATATATATATATATATATTTATTTTTATTATCATTTGATTGAATAAAAAAATTCAATAAACATAACTAGATAAATATCTCATATTATAAATTAAATATTTTAATCTACGTTTATTTTTTTATTTTTTAAATTTTAAATTTAGTATTATTAATGAAATTTTTTTATTAATTTATTTACACAAGTAATTTTCAAATTACTTAATTAATACTTGCATAATTAGTTTTATTTACATTTATACTTTTATTAAAAAAAAAAGGTTAAAAAAGCCACCCGCTGCGAAACGTGAGAAATGGAACGTTTATACTAATTTGAAAAGGTTAAAAAAACCATGTCGCTAGGTACGCAACCGACTTGTAGTTTGGCTATTTTCTCTCCATTCACCCGCAACCTTAAAAACACCACAAAAAAGGCAACAAACACCACCTCATTTATCAATGGGGAACCCAATAAAGATAGTATCTTACAACGTTAATGGCCTAAGACAACGAGTCTCGCAATTTGGGTCTCTCTCAAACCTCCTAAACACTTTCGATGCAGACATCATTTGCTTTCAGGTATACAAAAATCCCATGAACTCTCATTTTCTTTTATTTTTTGGTCTTCACAATGTTGATCGATGCAAATTTAACATACAGGAAACAAAATTAAGAAGACAAGAATTAACATCTGATTTAGTAATAGCTGATGGGTATGAATCTTTTTTTTCTTGCACGCGAACTAAAGATAAAGGCCGTACTGGGTACTCTGGTAAGGTGTTTGATGAGTTGCTTAAATGAAATACAAATTAAAATTTTCTAAAAACTTCTGCCTATTTGGCTATGACTTTTGTCATCTTTATAGGGGTTGCAACATTTTGTCGTGTAAAGTCTGCATTTTCGAGTACTGAAGTGGCATTGCCGGTTGCTGCAGAGGAGGGTTTTACTGGATTCATTGACCTCTGTAAAAGAAAAGAAGGGCTTGAGGAGTTTGAGAAAGATGAGCTTGTTAAGATTGATAGTGAGGGACGGTGTGTCGTTACTGATCATAATCATTTTGGTGCGTTTAATGTAAAAAAAAAAAATATTGCATTTTTTATGTGTTGATTGGTAATTTGGTTGACAGATTTTTTTTTTATTGAATTTTTTGGTGGAATTAGTCTAAGGTAGCTTTTAAATTTTTGGTAAAGTTCCGATTTTTATGTGGAGTTTGTGATGGAATTGATGTTGGTTATTTTGTTTTCTACAGTTCTTTTTAACTTATATGGGCCTAGAGCAGCCCATGATGATACAGAGAGAATTGAGTTTAAGATGAAGTTTTTTAAGATATTACAGGTATTAACTTCGCTTCTTTTCATTGTTACTAGTGATTATGCATAATCTGGCTTGATGGGTTTTATAGTTTACATTTTGTTTTGCCTTTCAGTTTTTCCCTGTTAAAGTTGAATTATTTGATGTTGGTAGTGTTTAATAGTTTATCCCTGATGAATGAAGAGTTCTGTGTGCTTTTATTGATTTTGGTAATCTCTGTTGTAGAAAAGATGGGAGAATCTTCTGCATGAGGGAAGGAGGGTATTTGTTGTTGGTGATCTCAATATTGCACCTACTGCTATGGATAGGTGTGATGCAGATCCAGATTTTGAGAAGAATGAGTAAGCTGTGAGCTAATTTATAAGCAGTGCTTGTCTATTATGCTGACTATTTGAAGTGGTCAGGTAAATAAGTACACAAAACTTTACCAGTCAAGGCAAGCACTGAATAAGGTTCTATTCACTTATCTGTAGATTCAGAAGATGGTTCAGGTCCATGCTAATGATGTCAGGTGGCCTCTTTGTTGATGTTTTCCGAGCAAAACATCCTGACAGGTTTCAAAATTTTCACTTGATTTTCAATTTGCAAAGTTTTAAGTCTGGATTTGGATGTTGAGTTATATTTGGACAGCAAAACGGGAGTTGAAGTTCTTATATTAAATTGTACCTTTCACTGTCCTTGTTTACTGACCTTTTCATAATAGAGTCTTGCATCATCTCTTTTCCCCCTTTCTGTGATTGACAATAATCCTTTATATCCTTGCACATATAAATTTGCATGTCGCTACTTGGTTTTGTTTCCTTAGTGGGGTATCCTCTGATTCATTAAAGTTTCCATTGAATAGTCTCTTTCAAGGTGTTTTTTTTTTTTAATCCTTGCATCATGATAATGTCATTCTATGATCTCTTCTTTTTCTTTTTGAGCAAGTTGGTATTGAATCCTAGTTCTTCCACCTTGAATTGTCCTACAGAAGAGAAGCATACACGTGCTGGTCATCAAGTACAGGTGCTGAACAATTTAATTTTGGGAGTAGGATTGACCATATTCTGTGTGCTGGACCATGCTTGCATCAAGAGCATGACTTGCAAGGCTATAACTTCTTTTCCTGCCATGTCAAGGAATGTGACATATTGACACAGTATAAACGCTGGAAACCTGGAGACACAACTAGGTATCGTTGGATCCAGCTATATTCTTGAATGTAGCAATGCCATGAAACCTCTCAGTTTTCTTTGTTGTTTCAACCTGTATGTGCATATGTTTCTATCCTTGTTTGCTTGTTCAAGTGTATATGGATGAGTCTGTCTGCATGTCTGTGCAAACTGCGAAGACCATAAGTTTCTCTACTTGCCTAAACAGGTGGAAGGGAGGGCAGGGCATCAAATTGGAAGGTTCAGATCACGCTCCTGTTTATATGAGTTTGGAAGAAATCTGTGATATACCCAGACATAGCACTCCACCTTTATCTGCTAGATATCTGCCCATGATTCATGGTGTCCAGCAAACTCTTGGTGTGACAATTTTGTTCTTGATGATAGTTTGTATTACTTTGTTTTGTTCATTTTAAGAAATGTGCTGCCTCTTGTTTTCTGTGTGTGTAAGCCCATGTGGTAATTTCAAGTTCTTAACCTTGTGCAGTGACTTTGTTGATGAAAAGGCAGGCTGCTACACAAATTCAATCTTCCAGGATATCAAGTTCATTTTCAGACGGAGATGCTACCATAAAGGCCTGCAGTGAAAGCATGAAAAGATCATTTAATGAATGCAGTGTATCTCGCCCATCTACAAGTCCATCATGTTCTTTGACTGAAGAGTTTGATAGTGCCATTTCCAAAGGAGATGAGAATTCAAAGGATTTGACTGATGAGAATCAGGGCCGTCCTGACACTACAATGATACTGCAAAGTCAGCATACTAAGTTTGTGCCTGCTGAGGGAGCCAAGAAAAAACCAAGAAAAAGTCGGTGTTCCCAGCTCTCCCTCAGATCTTTTTTCCAGAAAAGTCCAAACCTTAGCACTGGTGCTGAGAACTCTTCTACTAATGCTTCACCTAGTCAGGCAGAACCAAACACTAGCAGTTACTTGAATGGTTCTCATGCACCGGGTGATAAAAGCAGCAGTCCCAGGCATTGCCAACTGAATCCAAGTGCAGGATCTCAGTATCAAGATAAGGGAAATGATGGCTCGCTTGAGAGAGAGAAAAATAATGTTGCCTTGTTAGAATGGCAGAGGATACAGCAGCTCATGCGGAATAGTATTCCTGTTTGCAAGGGTCACAAGGAACCCTGTGTTGCTCGGATAGTAAAGAAACCAGGTCGTACTTTTGGCCACAGATTTTTTGTCTGCTCACGAGCTGAGGTATTCGCTCTAATCCTTGAAATCCAGCTAATAAATGATACTTGCACATCTAACTATGCTTTAGCAAACAAGTCAAATGCTTTGGGAACATTGTAAGTTAAAATCATATAGTAGGTAGAGAATGAAGCTATTCTTGTAATGACATATCTGCAGTACTGTCTGCAGATTTTGGCAGATAATATTTGAACTCTGCTGATGATCCTTTGCTTCTTCTTTTTTTTTCTCCCGGTCTTGTAGGGACCTGTATCCAATCCTGAAGCAAATTGTGGTTACTTCAAATGGGCTTCTTCAAAATCCCAGCGCAAATGACCGCTTGTGGTTTATAATGTCAATAACTTTTTTTTCCATGTGAAATCTCCGTTCCTGATTCGTATTTTTGTTGCGACCTTCATTCAATCAAAGCAGGTGCACTAGCGGAGGATGTTCTGCATGGGCTGGTTGCTTCATGTGAAATTGTTGCCCTTTTATTCTGTTGGATGCTATCTGGCAGCTGCATTATAATGAATAGATGATAAAAAGAGCACGTTCTGCTTTAAGCATTAGATAATTTAGATTATTAATCCAGCCCATGCCCATGTGCTTATGACAATATCCCCATTATGAGAGGAAGAAAGCAGCTAGTAGTTAAAAGTGAAAACTTGGAGCTTCTTGAGCCTTGGATTATTTATGTTAACAAATCCAAAATTCCCCATTTCTGTCCTCCAGCTAATGACTAAAAGAGCACGGTGAGTTGAGGTGTCAAGGAGGTCTGCTCCCCATCTTCTCATCCTCATCATCGTGGTTTGAACTTCGACATAAGCATGTGCTACTTGGTGAACGTCCTGCAAACATTCTTTTCAGTTGTCTAGCTAGGATTGGAGGTTATTCCATTCTCTCTGATAAAAAAATATATATATATTATATGTACAATACTTTCTATATATATATATATATATATATATATTACTCGTTATCTAAAAACAACCTTTATGGTATTTATGTTAAAATTGAAATTTAGGATTTTTTTAAAAATAATTAAAATCAAGTATGGAGATTAAACTACTGCTGGTGAAAACTTTTAATTTCATGAATGAGTGCAACCCGTTATTGGTGGCTCGAGATGGGATTATTGATAAATATTAATGAAATTCAATATCAATATAGACATGAACGTCAACTTTCAACTTTCCTTGTAACTGATTGGCAAGTAAGCAAACATATTCTGCAGTGTCTCAAGTCAGTCTTATAGTTAGGATTGAAGGAAAACATTTTATTTCACATAAAATATTATAGAAAAAGCTAAAAGAGATTGGCAATTCAGTGTAACCCACCTTCCAAATCACTATCGACTAGATTATATATATATATATATATATATATATATATATATATATATATTTTTCGTTATCTAAAAACAACCTTTATGGTATTTATGTTAAAATTGAAATTTAGGATTTTTTTTAAAATAATTAAAATCAAGTACAATATTTTTTTTTTAAATATATGAGGGTCCATTTTCTATTTTTATTGTCAAAATCTTGAAATTTATAATTTTATTATAGTTATTAGATCCAATCTGGTAGTTGATCAAACTAAGAAGTAGGTTTTCAGATTTCATGGGTCAACTTAGAAAATTTAAAAAATATATTTAAAGTTTTAATCTTTATATCAAAAAATTAAGAAATAATTTATGTAAATATATGCTATATATATTGTAAATAATGAAGTTTAAAAGAATATTTTTAAAATTTTTTTATTCCACATTGAAAAGATACTATATTATTCTTTTAAGTTGAAATATCTAAATCAAATTTTTTTATCCTATATTGAAAAAACATAACTTTTTTTTTTATATATAAACATAGAATATATATTAAAGGGTTTCAAATTTTACATTAAAAAGATATTATATTATCCTTTTAAGTTGAAGTATTTAAACCAAAAAGTTTTTTATTTCATAATGAAAAAACTTAACTTTTTTCTTGTGAACATAGAGTATATATATGAAAGGGTTTCAAATTTCACATTAAAAAAATAAAATATTTTTCTAATATTTATATAATAAACTTTAAAAAGGGTTAATAACCAACTAAAAAAATATAAACAAAGAGAGATATAGGAGAAAAACCATATCTAAAAAAAAATATCGGGTTTAGTATGGGTTCATAAGGGTCATGAATCAACACTCACATCCCCATCAAATATATGTGTTACTATTTTATTTCATGATGAATAATAAATAATTTTATAATAAACATCCATATATATTTTTAAAATCTATAGATAGTGTTTGGATATCTAATTTGTTTTGTTGATTATTAGTAGAGTATCAATACAGTGCAAATTCAGTGTACCCATAACCACCCATGCCCATTATTATTATTAGTGGTAAATTTTAATGAATTCCAATGTCATGGTAGACAAGCACTGTACTAATCAGATCCAGTATGGTAGTTGATCAAACTAAGAAGCAGGTTTTCAGATTTTATGGGTCAACTTAGAAAATTTTAAAAATATATTTAAAGTTTTAATTTTTATATTAAAAAATTAAGAAATAATTTATGTAAATATATGCTATATATATATTGTAAATAATGAAATTTAAAAGAATATTTTTTTAAAAAAATTATTCCACATTGAAAAGATACTATATTATTCTTTTAAGTTGAAATATTTAAATCAAATTTTTTTATCCTATATTGAAAAAACATAACATTTTTTTTTTATAAACATAAAGTATATATTAAAAGGTTTCAAATTTTACAATGAAAAAATATTATATTATCTTTTTAAGTTGAAGTATTTAAATCAAAATTTTTTTTATTTCACAATGAAAAAACTTAATTTTTTTCTTGTGAACATAGAATATATATACGAACGGGTTTTAAATTTTACATTAAAAAAATAAAATATTTTTCTAATATTTATATAGTAAACTTTAAAAAGGATTAATAACCAACTAAAAAAATATAAACAAATAGAGATATAGAAGAAAACCATATTTAAAAAAAAAAATATCGGGTCTAGTACGAGTTCATGAGGGTCATGAATCAACACTCACATCCCCGTCAAATATATGTGTTACTATTTTATTTCATGATGAATAATAAATAGTAATTTTATAATGAACATCCATGTATGTTTTTAAAATTTATAGATAGTGTTTTGATATCTAATTTGTTTTGTTGATTATTAGTAAAGTATCAATACAGTGCAAATTCAGTGTACCCATAACCATCCATAACCTATTATTAGTGATAAATGTTAATGAATTCTAATGTCATGGTAGACAAGCACTGTACTAACTATGCAAATATATTTGTATTTGTCACATCTTAAATTAAATTTATAATTTGAGATGACATCTCGATTTAAACCTGAAAAATAGTCTTCCAATCATACACTAATGAGTAAGTTTATTTTTTTAATAGCTACATTAATTACGGTAATCAAGAAAGTATGGATTTAATTAGATATAATATAAATATTTAAATTTCTTAGTAGTTTAATAATAAATTAAGTACGGATATATAGAAACGTAATCCGTGGATTCCAATCAGCATCCTCATATTTTAGATTTGAAGAAAACAGCCGGAGAGCAGAAGAGTTTAACAACATAAATATCTGCAAATACATTTCGTAATAATTAATGACTGGTTAAATATGAACTTTCCAGGAAGCTGCATGGAAGCTTCACCGACTTCCGTGTTTGTTGCCCACCACTCATGGCTCTTCCATAAATAATAACAATTGACAAGAATACCAAATTCACCAACAGCCCATTAGGGTTTCCACCATTATAATGGATCAAATTCACCGTTTTAGTAGACATCTGTTGAATGCTAATTTGCCAAGACAGGGGGAAAGAGCAGATGAAGGAGGATCATTTGTGGGTATTGGCATAGCTTATGGTGTCGTATGTGCTCTTGTCATCCTCTTTTTTGTTTCCAGATGCAAGTGTTCTATTAGTTCAAGAAGCTTGTCTTCCAATAATCAGCGAAGTCCTACAACATCCAGCTCATGTTCCCATGAACCTAATACACATACCCACCAGGAACTTGTAGCCCTACCGATTTTTGTCTTTGGAGAACAGACACCACCCTCAATCTCAAGCTTAGCGTTGCCGCAATTATCATCATCAGAATCTTCTTCTTCATTCGTATTTCCTGATGGAGACTGTGCGATTTGCTTGGATGATTATGTTCATGGTGAGTCCATAAGGGTCTTGCCTAGGTGTCAGCACATGTTCCATAAGGACTGTATTGATCACTGGCTATCATCAAGAACTTCAAGCTGTCCCATTTGTAGGACCAAATCATAGACAAGAATATAGATTCTCCTAATGTGGTGGCAGATGTTACAGGACCATTTACATTGTTTCCTTTCAGCAATGGCAGGATATAAAAACTACCTGTGAGGAGTTCAGAATCTGTTTGATTGCCAAGAATTCATGGCAGGAAATAAGACCAGAGCTCCAAGGTCGGTGCAAAAATGCTTGCCACTTTTCATTGAGATTGGTTGATTAAGATCTACTATCAAACATTTTTGTCATTAATTGGGTGTTAATGACATAATCGGGGCCTGATAAATAAATTCCATTTGTAGAATTCAAGTGATATTCAGTAGTAATTTTTATGTTGTGAACCGGACTTGTAGCCACCTTTTGTGGATTACCTGAAGAATTGGAACTGGGTTTTGGTTGGATCATCACATTCTTTATGTAGTTAGCCAATCAACTTGCTATAATGTATCGGGGTATTAGCTTAATATTTTATTTTCCCATCACCTTTCAAGCAGATATTTCTATATAAACTAACAAAAATATCCTCATATATGAGAAACTCAATTCCAATCCAGTCTATTAAAAAAATAACTATAAAAAAACCCTAATCTTTCTTTCCCTTTCTCTCTCTTTATTTGTTGCTCTTCGTTGCCTTTTTCTCGTCTCGATTTGTTGTTGTTCTCGATTTATCTTAGGGCTGCATGTAATAGAGAGTTAGAGAACATGTCAGACCCTTCTTTCCCTTTAAACAAATCTCAGCCCTTAAAACAAACCACATTGATCTCCACTTTTCCAAAAAAAAAAACCCAGTTAAACTTGTATTGGATCAAAACTGTTAACGGGGCTAGCTTGTTGGGATTGCAGAAGGGATGGCAGGATATAACAGAGTGTTTATTTATCGGGAAATAATTTTTAAAAAATAAATTTTTAAAGTTTTATATATTTATTTGTTATTAGAAAAATTAGTTAATAAAAATTATTTTTCAATTAAAAAAATATAGCTTAATTTTCAAAAAAATATTTTTTTATTGTCAAAGGAAAAAACTTTACAGAAATTATGAAAAAATTAAAAATATTATATTATTTACTGATTATATCAAATTTGATTCTCAAATTTTTGATTGATATATATTTTGTTTGATTTTTTTTTAATTTCATCATATAAAATTTTATTTTTATGAATATTATTTACTTTTCTCTTATTATTTTTTAATTAAAATTTTTTATTTATCAAATTTGATCTTCATTCTTTTAATTGTTATTTATTTT